ATGGGATTCTGGAACATTCAGTTCCATCAGTGTCGAGCTGAAAAACACAGAAAATTTTGTTTTGTTTTCTTTGAAATCAATAGTGGGAAAATTAGGACAAATAGAAGGAGAAGGAGGAGGAGGAGGAGGAGGAGGAGGAGGAGGAGGAGGAGAAGAAGAAGAAGAAGAAGAAGAAGAAGAAGAAGAAGAAGAAGAAGAAGTCATTTCAAGTCTTCAAGTCCTAAATATTTTTGGTCTAAGGGAGGTGAGGGTGGAAAAGGGGTTGCATTCACAAGCATCAGTTATTTATGTAAAGAATCCCTCTACCAGAAGCATGGGAGCTGAATCAATGAAGTGCATGCCATACAAATAAAGAAGCTGTGCCCTATCCCCAGAGCACACAGGACAATAAAAGTACATGGTGCCCAGTATAGGAGAGGCAGAGACAAGCATATCCTTGGGGCTCACTGGCCAGTCAAGGCTAACTAGCGAATCTGACTGAGGACTTTATTTCAAAAAAAAGGTGAGCAGTTCCAATGAATGACCCCTTAAGTTTTACAAACATGCACACACACACACACACACACACGCACACACACGCACACACGTGCTCGCGCACACGCACACACACACACACATACTCCCATTAAACTTGCCATTAAGCTGGATGACTTGAGTTCAGTTCAGTTGCTAAGATCTGTATTTTAGAAAAGAACTGATATCCGTGGCTTGCCTTTGATCTCCACATACATATGGCACACGTGTGCATAAATGCACCAATAAAAAGGAAGGAAGAAAGAAAGGAAGAAAATAAAAGTTAAAAAATAAATAAGTCTATTTTTAATTAAAAAAAAAAACAACCTCACTGCTTTAGGGATTAGAGAGATGGGTCAGTAGTTAAAAGCAATAACTGCTGTTCTAGAAGATACTGGTTTGTAGGAGGCGCTAAGGAGGGAGGAGTAAGGAGAGGAAGAGGAGAAGGAAGAGGAGGAGGAAGGAGAGGAAGAGGGGAAGGAAGAGGAGAAGTTAGGAGAGGGAGAGGAGACAAGAGAGGGGAACATGGAGGCAGATGTTCACGTGTCTCCCGCAGTCAAAGGTAGTTGGTATATCTACAATGGGTATTCCGTTACACCTCTGATTGAGTGGGCATCTTGTTACTGATCATTACCAAATACGCAAGTCTTTGGATAATCTAAGCATTTAGACTCTCATTTGTCCCGAGCCCTCGTGGTTGGCGGGATCCTCTGGGGAATACCCAGCCTTGTGGAGACAGTGTAGAATATTGGCAGAGCCATCTCCCATGCTGGCTTCATGTGGGTCACAGGGCTGGTGTTTCTTGCTGGCTGTTTCTAGCTGCTGTGTGCACGTGGCCTCTGGCTACAGAACAAGGCAGCTGAGCTAGGCAGAGTAGCAGCAGCTCAGATAGCTGGCTTGAGCAGCGGCCGTTTTAAATAATTACTTCAACACAGGTTTGATTCTCAGCACCCACATGGTGGTTCACAAACATCAGGAACTCCAGTATTAGAGGATCACATACCCTATTCTGTCCTCTGTGGGCACCAGGCATGCATGTGGTGCACAGACATACATGCACGCAAAATACTCATACACACAAAATACAAATAAATCTCAAAAAATAGTTCTTTATGACTCAACATTTTTTCTTTGCCCTCCTCCTTTACTCTTCTTCCTTCCTTCCTTCCTTCCTTGCTTCCTTCCTTCCTTCCTTCCTTCCTTTCTTTTATTTTAAATATTTCTCTACCCTCTACCCAGAAACTCTTTTTCCTCACCTTGCATTTTCCAGATGTTGGAAGATCCGTTGAAGGCTCTTGTCTATTGACCAGAATATATAGCCCTGGTTCCAGCCCACAGGAAGTCCTGAAATACTGGACACAGCAGGGTAGGTCAGTGGAACTGAAGTGATAGCAAAGTACCAGAAAGCTAACCAATAAGAATAGAAAGTTAATTTAGGAATTAGACCATTGCTATCATAGTAAATGAAGTGAAAATACCAGGTATTTTATACGTTTAGCACTTACAATTAAGGTGATGTCTTAGTTAGGGTTTCTATTGTTGTGATGAAACACCATGGCCATAAAATGCTTGGGGTTAAAGAGTTTGTTTCATCTTTCAATTTTCAATTCCATACTCCATTGCAGAGGGAAGTCAGGGTAGGAACTCAGGGCAGGGATCATGAGGCTGGAGCTGAGGCAGAGGCTCTGCTTACTGGCTTGCTTTCATGTCTTTCTCACCCTGCCTTCTTCTATCACCTATGACCACCAGCCTGGGGTGGCACCACCCACAGTGAGCTGGGCATTCCCACATCAATCATCAGTTAAGGCAATGCACCACAGGCTTGCCCACAGGGCAATCTGGAAGGCGTAATCTTCCAAAATGATGCCAGCTTGTATCAAGTTGCCGTGAAACAGTCAGTAGGACAGTCTGAAGACAGGCTCTTACCTTGTCAGATCACTTTCCAACAAGTTATTCCTGGAGTTTTTTAATTGTGAATCTGGTAATAGGAGTAAAGAAACTATTTAGCACAGTAACTACTGATATCATCTACCAGGACCCCCTTCATTTAACAGTCATGCCTGTCATGAAATTAATTAATGGCATGGAACAGCTATCAACGTTTTAAAAGTCCATACTCTCTGCTGTCTTCATCATGGACCAGAAGTGCCCCCATTAGAAGCATGGGGATGGGAACGTAGCAGTGGGAGACACAGAGATCCTGATACATCATTTTCTTTAAAGACGTCTACCCTGAATGCATAGTAGAAGAATAAAGGTAACAGACCTCCCTTGTCAGACTCTTGGTAGGTATTCTTTGTCCATCCTCCTGACCCACCGAGTTTCTTTCCCATACTTTAGGCTTTCCATGGAAACATACAGGACACAGAAGCATGGGGAAAGGGACCATGGAGGAGTTATGGGGCTGTTTGCATGACTTTGGAAGTGAAGATGTTAGAAAGATGGCTCTACTCTAGTCACACCCTCTTTTTCAGCTTTCTTTCACATGTTATCAAAGACCAGAGTCTTAAAGCAGAAACACAGCTGATCTGACATCAGCCTTGAGCTAACAATAAGGAGTAGAGTCATTCTGACTTGTAAGTTTCTTGATCTGTTCAAGAATATGTTGTGTTGAAGTCTAGAGAAACACACAAAAAAAGAAACAAGAAAGTTAGATTTATGTTATAGATTGGAGATTTTACTGACAATATATCTCATCTTACTCATGGGATATTGATATGTTTTATGTCAGGTATTAACTCAGATATCTTCTACAGTCATATCATTAGTTACTAATTTATTTGTGAATAATTTATTAAATACAATAAGGAAGCAGTGAGATGGCTCTGTAGGCAAAGATGTTTTACACCAAGCCTGAGGACCTGGGTTCCATCTCTGGAGCTCACCTAGTGAAAGGAGTGAAGCAGTTTTCACAAGTTCTCCCATTTACCTCCACATGCACACTATGGCATTTGTGCATGCATGCACACTCTCATACACATTATTAAAGTGTTTTTTTTTAAAAATCTAAGTTCTAGATTATTATATGGCATACTGAGACTAAAGATAAATATGAATCCTGTACTCTAGAGACATGCATTAGTAAGGAAAGCAGCCACCTAAACAGATAAGATACCATGTGGGAACCAGCAAAACAGCTCAGTGGGTAAAGGTGACTGTTCCCAAGCCTTGGCAACCTACATTTAACTCCTATGACCTTCAAGGGTAAATGGAAAGAACTGACTCTTGCAGGTTGTTTTCTACTTCTCTATGTCCCATGACATGTGCACACCTGTACACACACATCCCCCCCATACAACACACTTTTTAAAAAATGTGGTAAATATAATAGAAATTCATCAGTGAACACAGAAGACCTTGATTAGTTTCCTTAAACAGAATGGAAGAATTACTCCATCAATTTCCATCTGAGCTAGAGCTCAGAGAGTCAGCTGATTTCTGGGTAAAAAAGAACATTATAATCAAGTAAGACATCACTGAAAATGGCATATTGTCATTTTTGTGGTGGAGCATTCACCATAGAAGACTGGATATACTTCACATTGACCTTATGAAGCTTATAAATACCAAAATGAAAATGGTGGTTACAAAAGAGAAAAATAACTCATGATAACTTATAATCTGCGAGAATTTGCCTCAAAAACTATAAAAAGATTAAGCATAAATAACAATCTACCTCCCAAATAATTCTTCAGAATAACTATGCTTATCATTAGTCTTCCACTTTATACTTCTCCATTAATAAATTTTTAAGTACATTTTCCTTTGACATACAGTTGCTATACTATTTCAACAAAATGAGTACAGAACACCTGTATAACATTATAAAGAGGAAATCATCACAAGTACATGAATTTGGTAAAATAAAAATAAACTACCATCATCAAATAAGAACCATATTTTATATTTCTGATAAATATATGCACAGTTAATGAACATGCAGTGGTCCTCTTTACAACAGCAGCTCAAGTTAACGGGAAAAGCTCAGAGGCCGACAAGATGCAACAGCAACTAAATTCATAAATTCTCCAAGAACATAAAGCACTATATTTGCCATAATAACATGTTAATTATATACAATGACAATATACTATTCATTCTTTCATAATTTGAGTCCACAAAATTGAATTTATTAACAACAACGGACTCCATTTTCTAAAGGAAATTTTCAGTGGATAATCACAATCAACAGACAAAAAAAGGCAGAAAATATTTTCTTTATCTACTTGTGAGAAAGTTACTGGCCTGTATCTGTGGTTCTCAACTTTAAAAAATTATCAGAATGGAGTGGAGAGGAAAGAGAGAGAAGGGAAAATGGAGGCAGATGTCACGTGTCTCCTACAGTCAAAGGTAGCTGGTATATCTAGGTTGGGTATTGGGTTACACCTCTGATTGAGTGAGCATCTTGTTATTAACCATTACCAAACATATAAAGCCTTTGATTAATCTTTAAAAAAAAAAATTATCAGAATGGCCGGGCAGTGGTGGCGCAAGCCTTTAATCCCAGCACTTGGGAGGCAGAGACAGGTGGATTTCTGAGATCGAGGCCAGCCTGGTCTACAGAGTGAGTTCCAGGACAGCCAGGGCTACACAGAGAAACCCTGTCTCGAAAAACAAAAACAAAACAAAAAATCATCAGAATGAATACAAACTCCCAGGTCCCAAAACAGTAAATCACTCTCTGAAAGTTTAAAATTAAGTATATATTTTGGGAAATTTTTATAAATTACTCTGATGCACAAAAAAGTTGAGAACCATTTATTTAATATCTGCTTCACTAGATTCAAATGCTGAATTAAGGTGCATCAGAATCATGGCCAAAATCACTATGCTTTAGATAAACATTGGCCTCCTAGGTAGGGCTCCTGTCCGGCTGTAATTGACAGCACAACTTGTACTCTCACAAGTGTTCTGGTTTAGCAAAGAGATGATACTGAAAGAATAATACAACCTTAAAAGTTAAAAGTTTACACTTAATTTTTAAAGCATCCCTTTTCAAAACCCAGATTTCATACTCCTAAGCAATGCTCTACTGGACACTAACAGACTGAAGCAAAGAAAAATGGTTCTTTCATGTTACTATTAGGTGATAATTTTTGTAAAGATTGAAAACATAACTATAAAGGATCAGATTAGAAACAAGGGTCAAAATTTTTATGAAGCTTTCTTAAAAAACAATTACAAACAAAGCTTAGGTTAGCCTTGAACTCTAAGATCCTCCTACCTTAGGCCAAGTTCTGTGTTTACAGGCCTGTGCCATCACACTGAGCTCATGCATGACTTTATGACAACATATAAATGAGTCATTTGGAAAACAGTGGTCCCCTAAGCCATGCAAATGTAAATGCTAATGTATGTCCTTATATAACTAAAATAACACTAACCTCATGGGGAAATACTGTAAGTTTGAAAAGCTGTCAAGTTCATGATAGAAATTTCCTCAAATTCTTGTTTTAGTTAAAAGTTGACTAAGTAAAATGTTTGCATTTGTAACAAATACGGTGTTATTTCCTTTGCAATACCAGGCTCACTTAATTATGTTGTGAAAACACCTGCCAAGTCTAATGAGTGCATATTACATGTGTGCACGTGGAGGCCAGAAGTTGATGTCAGTGTCTTCTTCGGTTGCTATCTTTTTTTTTTTTTTAACATTAAAAATATTTCAGGCTGTATAATTAGCTTAGCAGTTAGGAGCACTTGTTGATTTTAGAAAGGCCCTGGTTTGGTTCCTGGAACCTGCACAGTGGCCCCCAAACATCCATAGCTGTAGTCCCTGGATAACTGATACTCTGTGAGCAGCAGACACACATGTACACATTCATACAAAACACCCAGACACATAAAGTAAATCTAACAGAAAACAAAACATTTGGCGTATGTATGTTTATAGGTCAGAGAGCAGCTATGGGAATCAGCGCTCTCCTACCACGTGGGTCTCAGACCGGTGGGCCTGGCGGCAGGTGCTCTTACTCAGTGAGCCATCTCTCACCACTCTCCACTCTTCTGAGATAGGATCTCTTACTGAACCTGGAGTTCAGCAATTCAGCTAGACAACTGGCCGTCAACCCAAAAGGATCCTGTTGTGTCTCTGCCTCTCCAGCCCTGGACATGAGTCTTGTGGTTTTAGGTTTGCATGGCCACCACTCTCTAACAGCCATCTCCCCAGCTTCCTTCCATCCTGAGCATTCTAGCCTTGAACTTACTACATAGCTGAGGATAGCTTGTCACTGCCAGTCCTCCTGACTCTCCAACTCCCAAGTGCAGGAATCACAGAGCAGATCACCTTGCCCAGTTTAGGTTGTGTTGGCGTCGACTGAACGCAAAGCTTTGTTCACTACGTAAGCATTTTACCAGCTGAGCTACATTCTTCCATCATAGATACTCTTAACTGAAAGTAACATTTACTTGGTTTGTAAACTCAAGCAAGTAATACAATTTCAAGTCAGTTTGTTGTGGCTGCTTGATTCCTGCTCAGATGCCAACAGCTTTACCTACCATTGCTTTTCTAGCACCTGTGCGAATTTAACATAATGAAAATGGTACAAAATAGCTTTCCTATTAAAAGTCATTTTGACTTCAG